TCAAATCAATCACAAAATGTGTTATGTACATGATACTTACAAGAGATAAGCATGCTGTATTATATGAATAACATCTTTAAAACATTAGTTCTCTGCGTAATTATATCAACTCAAAACTTTATTCTAAAGATGATAACCAGTCTAATAAAGCTTTGTTGGCGATCTCAGGAACCTCATCACGAGGACAATGTCTAGCTTGCAAATTCATAACAGAAGTCTTTGGATAGAACTCTTTGCAAATTCAAAACCGAAACCGAAACCGAACCGAACCGAATTTCGGTTGGGCCAAATATTCGGATGAAGGGGAAAAAATCTAGATCTGGATGAGAGTTTTGAGCATCCGAAAAATTCGGATTGGATGCGGATTGGGTATAAAACCGAACCGAACCGAATATGCTCAGCCCTATATTTAACTATCAAATTGTTGGTTTAAAAATTAATCAGCCGGCTTTGATTGTGGAGGGCACATGAAAATGTTGTGTTGCATTTGATGAATGTCGCTTCTTAGTAGTTTTGCGTATAATCAATGAATTCACCCATTTTTAGCTAGTTCTTCTCATACCAATAGAAAACGATGTCGTCTTAAGTGGAAAGTCGTCATTTTGATATTGGTTGATGTAGAAGTGACAAACACGGCGAAAAACAGCTCAAGAAACAAGCAGGAAATTGCCAGGCAGCTTGACGGTCGATCGCAAGATCAGCTGTGGTTGACCGACAAACGTGCACACTACAGAGTGTATTTTTAGATTTATGTCCGGTCGACCGCGACGTCAAGTGCGGTCGACCGCGACTCGGGTCTGGGCCTCAGTTTTTGTTTTCTGACTCGTTTCGTTTTGTGTTGATCTATAACCCTAAACCTGATTAATTAGGGTTAAGTAAGGACGATTTGAGCAGAATTGAGAGAGAGTATTGTGCATCCTTTGTAGGAGGATTTGAGAGAGATCTAGAGAGCTTTGTTTGTGGATTTTTGAGTGATTTTGTAACCATATTTGTATTTCTCTTCATCTCTATTAGTAAGAACTCTCCCCTACTTGCCCCATGGACGTAGGCAACTTGCCGAACCATGTAAATTCGTTGTCTTGTTATGATTTGTGATTTGTGATTTGTGCTTGTGTTTGGTTGTGATCTTTCTCGTTGTCTTGTCGTGCACTATTTGGCTTTCGAGCTTTGCTGCGCACAACAAATATCGTACTTCATGATTTGTAGCCCGAATAAAATCAGTCTATCGTTTACCATTTAAAAAAAAAGTAGTTTGTTTAAAAGTTATAGGCAGCTAGCTATGTATGAATTGTTAACTAGCAGTACATCTTAAGTATTTCGTATGTATGTATGTTATTAGAGTATAATACATGTATGTGTGTGGTTACACACGTATATAAAATGCTAAACTATGACTATGCATTCATGTATATGAATTCGTACCAAATATCATTTAGTTATCGTGCATACAGCATCCAGCTGTCGAGGCCTCCACCTTTGTTTTTTAGTACAAGAATAATATAGAACTCATCGTCCGATTAGAATTACTCATAAGTGAACTCACGAGGAAGCGGTTATAAGTAAGTTTTTGTTGTTTGGTAGGAGTAGTGTAGGTGAGAGGCTCCGCCATTGGAGGAGGAGGAGGAGGTGGTGGGGAGAGGGTGTGGAGATGAGGAGGGAGAGGGAATTGGTTTTTAGAGGGTTAATTCGCTGTCACGTCAGAAAACAGAGCCACATCAGCATCTTAAACACAGATTAAGCCCTCACGTGCAACGCACGTGATGAGTTTCGCCGGAAAAGTGGCCACCGACGAGAAAAAAAGACCTAAATGGTAATTTTATTCAATTAAAATGTCTTATCGCCGAATTTCCTAATTAAAATAGCTTGTTGGCAAATGGGGTTGAATTAAAATACCAATGTGGGTATTTAGCCGTTCCTAAAGAAACAAAATCTATACGGCACTAACAAGTTTAAAATATCCTCTAAATCATCAAAATCAATGCTACAAGTATATGCATGGTTCATCTAAATCTACAGTACATCAAGAGAGGGATGACACGTGCATCTCCTCACTAGTAATAAAAAAATAAACAATAGGTGTTGAGGTTTTCAAAACTTTCATATTTTGAAATTAGTCCCACAAATCATGGAAGGCTAGTAGGTCCCTCGATTCTTAGCTTATTTTTGAAATTAGTCCCTTAAACCATAGAAATTGCTATTAGCTCCCTCAACTAACTTATATTTGAAGTCTGTCCCTCTAATCAAGGGTAGATGTAGCAATTGGATGAATTAGAAGGTAAAATGTATTAGATCCTCCAATTCTCTTATATTTTTTATTTTTCCAAATTAACGCCTCCAACAACTATTTCCATTCGTGAATAGAGGGATTAATTCATAATAAATCAAAAATTGGGGGACCTAATAGCAAAACAATTTCCGAGGGATTAATTCCAAATATTAAAGATTTAAGGGACTAATATGGTGAGTTAATTATGGAATGATTTCTTAAAAGAAGCCGATGATTTTCTACAACCGTAGGTAAGAGTGTAATTATTTTTAGACCCCGGCCCCAGCCAAAATTCTTGGCTCTGCCACTAATAAATAAATGTATATATATTACGTTTTTGAATTAGTTTGGATTTAGTTTTCCATGTGATGTTTTGAAAATAAAATTTAATGGATTAACATTAGAGCAAATATCATGCATGGTTCTTGCCACTGAGTTTGAATCTCCAAATCCCACAATCACTGGGGGGGGGGGGGGGGGTTATTGGTTGGGACAAATTGGGGCTAAGTGAGATAATTGTTCTAATGGAATAATTTTATCCATTTGGGATATTTTGAGTAGTGTAAAGTGGGACTATTTAGGATAATGAGACAAATTGAAGCTTTGATTTGATACTTTGTGTGGGATAATTGATGATGTGTCATTTTATTAAAGTACAATATTTATCTATCAATTAGATCTAAATTAATTCACTTAATTAGTTTAGTATATTATTTGATATGTTATTATAATATAATACATTATTTTACTTTATACTATACTATAATATATTATATTATAATTACTAATTAATTATAACTATATTTATTATTATTAATTAATTTAATATAATATATTTAAGATATATTATATATTATAATACATATATTAGATATTTAATAAATTAGTGCTTCAAAATTATCTCGCTTTCCTCGTAATTGTCCCAAAGTTAAGAATGTGGTAATTTTTAAAGGTTGAGACAAAAATACATTATAATAGATTTTTTAATATAATATAATTAAGATATATTATATATTATAATACATATATTAGATATTTAATAAATTAGTGCTTCAAAATTATCTCGCTTTCCTCGTAATTGTCCCAAAGTTAAGAATGTGGTAATTTTTAAAGGTTGAGACAAAAAAGTTTGCATAGAAGTGGGATAATCTTGAAAAAAATAGGGGTAATTATTCCAATCTCACTATCCCAATAAATAACATCTTAAAGAGAAATCTCAATCTCATTGCGCCAATGAATAACACCATAAAATAAAGTTTCAAAATTTATCTCATTTACCCTAAAATTACACCAACCAATAACCTCCCTAATCCTAAAGGTATTCACAGCACAGAAACCTCAAACATGAAATCATGACATATCAGATATTTGCCAGAAACACGAACCAATCATGATACTTCTGTACTGTATGCATCTGTTATAACTTACCATCTGTTGACATGCCATATTTTCTCTACGTCATTTTTCCTTCTTCATGTAACATAACTTGTGAAAGCTTGACGAATTGATGTTACGGGGAAAAGAAAAAACTTTCTCAGGATCCCTTTGTATACAGATGCAAGAACACACGCTAGGTTGCATTGGTATGAATATGGAGATATGACCAATCCCAAAAATTAGATATGGGTTACTTGGAGATACAATAAGCTTTAATTAACATTAACTAATATTAGAAAAGATATAAACGGTTAAAGAAACACGAAAACTCTGGTTTCCAAGTTATATAAGCAACAGTCAGGAAAGCAAGCCAAACGCTTTGCTAAGGAAGTTTACAAATTTCATAAATGCGTCTACTGTTAGATCAAGAAAAGATAAACCTTTTGCTTTAATAAATAAAATCCTAGTCAATATCAAAATTGTTCATGTCAAACTATTAAGATAATTGAGAAGATGCGGAACTATACCTGAATCCATGGAGTAGTATGTGAATTTTAAGTTTTGAGATGTAGATCTTCCAAATCTAGTATGTATTATATCCTACTTAGAGAAACCCTAATCCTTCTAAAGATGAGAAATTAGAAAAAGATTCTACGTCGAGATTTGGGGAACCATGACCCTATTTATAACTGATATCAGTTATTCATAATTATTAATTCAGCTCATCATAGAATTAATAATTATATTTTGGTCTCTATACATGAGAGGCTCATACTTTAATTATACATTAAAAGCCCAAACCCTAAATTAGATCACTTTAATGGGCTAACCTTAATTGATAGCACATAATATATATTTATTTAATACATTGCCCCATATATTGGATTTAAATCCATCATCTACAAGTCAAAAAGAAAATTTCAAACCCACCAACCATGCACCTAGTGAATATCTTCTACTCATTTTTTTTACAAAGAAGAAAATACGTCTTTGGCACACACAACAACGTAACCACCAACCACAACTACCGTGTTTTTGGTGCACATGGGGATCAAAACCCAGTTCCCCCATCAGGGAACGACATGGCTTTGCGATGTGACCTTCTGACTACTGAGCTGCCCATGTCTTCTAGGTCTTTGGGTATCTTGATTATTATAAAAACTTTTATGTACACATCATAGAGACTATGCATCAAATATGGATACGAGTACATCTCCTATAGTACACAGGCATACAATACAAAATTCAGACCCACGAAACGTGCGCTAAAATTACATCTTGATTAGTGTTAATTTCTGAAGTAGAGAACGGATGGAGAGTTAAATTTGGCTGTCAACAAGATGGAATACGGTACACGTTTAAACAAGCATCCATGACCATTGATCTAATTTTTAACAATGGTAATTACAATAAGCATGCAGAAGCTACATGGGAATTACGTAGCAAAAAAATGCATTTTTCGAATGAAATAACAACCAATCTTCAACTACATTTTTGCAGGATGGCAAACGAAAAAGAGTCATACTATACACGCTGCCTTTAAACAAATTTGTATCTAACATATGTTACAGACAAAATTTATGAACACCATAAGAATAAAAACCATACCTCTTTATATGGCATCATGATCATCAATTCCCAGGTTGCATTTTAGAATGTAGGAGGAATAGAAGTTTTCTGAGACCATCTTGTCCACAAAAATATTTCTAAGACAACTCCCGTAAGTAAAAGAACAGAAAGGTTGATGCCATAACCAATTTTCCAAGAAGTTCCTGCAGAGCCAACATGGATCCCGAGGTAAATGTTGACTACTGAGAGTAAGAGATTGAGTCTCCCAACTCCATGATGGTACCAATTCCAGAGTCTACGGAATTTTGAATCTTTGTCGGGTCGGAGAAAAAATGCTATTACCTGTGCAACGGAAACAAAAATAATCAAACAAGGATATAGGAAACCATCAGAAATTGGGTGTGAAAGAATCCAGTTATCTGTTGTCAAAAAAAAAAGTGATTAAAAGAAATGCAAAAATTATGCTATCATAAAAGAGTGACACACATAGCACTTTCAATTTCTCTTCAGAATAGGTGAAATTTTAAAGCCAATTCAAGTTCTACTCATCCGAATAATTAAAATCTCTGATAGTTTTAACAACAGTGATGTACCCGAGGGAAGGTCTAACAGTAGACCACCTATGTTTAATGATAGCAACTATGCTTATTGGAAAGCCACTGAGGGTTTATATATTCAATTTATTGAATCAAAGTTCAAAACTAAGCGCTGGAGTTCTGTAGAAGATTGTTATAACACAGAAAGTTAGATGAGTTAAAGTAGAGTTAGAGAAAGTTCACCAATTACAAACACAAAAGATTTAGAGGTGGTTCGTCCCACCTAATTACAGTCTCACAAATTTCATTTACAAATGAATTTGACATATTCTGCCAGCCAAAATTAAGTATCCTAAGAAATTTGTTAGGGCTAATTTATTCAAATCCCTTTGTTCAAAACATTCCATATATATATATTTAAATAGGTTTAAATAACTTAAAGAGGACATTCTTTTTTTTAAGGCTAATTTATTCAAATCCTTTAAGAGAACAGTTTTTTTTTATAATTAAATAACTTAAGAGGACAGTTTATTGTTATTGCACATCAGACAGGATAAAAGTCTAATTTAGTTCTATAGGACTAAGTGGTAGAATTTTTATTTCATAGTTTTTCTTGACTCGAATTCTCATAGCATAACATTAAATATGAACGCTTTCATGCTTTTAAGGGAAATATGGAATCGTTCTTCAATTTTTTAACCCATCATTACAAGTGTAGGAATGATATATTTGCCTGATCACCGTACAAAATTTTAAAAATTAGATGAATGAACCATCAGAAGAGAAAGTTATAACAGATTAAAATAGGACTGATAAAAAAAATTCAAATTTCTGATAGGTCAGTTCACTGACCTGAAGGATACCCAACACAAGGATAAAAATTCCAAGGCCCCTGTGTGCAGAGACATCAGCATGCAGTTTATTGTAGAGTGCAACTCCAGCAACCACACCCGCAAGTCCGATTATGAATCCAATAAGCTGAACTATCGCATGAATATAATACCACAATGGATCTGATCTCTTGAAATATCTTGCAACCATGGCTCCAATTGGTAGTAACACACCCCATCCTATTATATTCAATATCCCGTGGGTTCTTTTTAGTTGGTACGGATAGGAAGAAGCAGAAGATGTGCCTGTAATTAAGGTCAATTTCAATGATATGAACAAGAGATTTCAGCAGTGATTTCTATAGTACGAACAAATTACAATCTAGTTCCTATACTGTGAACAAATAAAAGTGGAAGATACCCATAGATACAGATATAACAACAATAGCTTCATTTTGATAACAATAAATAAATTGCTAAAAGGTGCTAATGTCCAAAGTAAAAAAACAAAAAGATGCTAAAATGAAGAATGTTCTGAAATTATTCAATACTTCAACTCTTAAAGATATAAATCAGGTTGCGATTAATTATGTAATACCCAAAATAGCCTCGCATGCAAAGAGGACATGCAGATAAAAATTATGCCAGTATACCACTGGAAACAAGAATTTAGGGCATGCTTTCACTGGGGTTTTAATAGGTTATAAGTATAAATTCAAAGATTATTTTTCTGGATATTGCAACAAAACATTAGGACTTCAAAAATCAATATGTGAAACAAGAATCAAGTGCTACCAAATATGAATGACAAGAATGGAAAAACAAAGAACCAAGGTCAGCATCTCTTAAGTCCTTGCCACTGCACTAAAACCCCAAAGTTATAGTGAGGGTTGAGGATTGTAGTTTTTATTTTATAACATGCCCCCACGGGTTGAGAGTCCTTTTTATGGGCCGAAAGCTGGACTCACGAATGTGGGCAGTCAAAAATGCAAACCGTTAACAAGATCAATTAAATACATCATGGACCCACTACGGGTATTTTAGTCATTCAACAATGATCAATAGACTCAACAAAGTCAAAAGAGTCCACAAAATGGCGATGGATACAAAACTCCAAAATCCCAAGTCAAAAACAGGTTGAAGTCAGTTGTGCAGCAGACTGGCACGAGGTTACAAAAAACAACGCAGCCTGTAAATCCCGTGGCTATTAACCCTGCACAAGATCAGCCCTGCGTGGTTGATAACCCCACGTGGCTGGTAACCCCGCATAGCTCAACCCCACGTGCTACATGAGGTTCTTGGGGATGACAGATAGCTGTGATGGCGACCTTTGTCAAGCGTTAGATCACCGAATGCCCCATATTAAATGCAAAAGATATCACATTAGATGCGCTGCAATATAAAGTATGACTCTTGAAGGCTGCATGCCTCTAAACCCATGTGGTCGTAACTTTAGTCACAGGGTTGATAAAGCTGCTGCAGTCGCTGCAGAATTATATGTGATCTGATAGACGTAGACGCGCATGAGGACCAAGTCAACGCCCCGTGACCAAAGTCTGAAAAGTATTGTGCTAGTATTCAATGCACTTACAACAAGCGTATGATTTTACTCGTGTAGGCTAACCTCGCGTGGAGCACGATCTTCAGCCTATAAATAGGCCCCCTTCATCCACATTTAAGGGGTTCGGGGATCCTTCTTGAGGTTGAGCTCCACGACTTCCCCTTTTGCTTGCTAAGTTAACCTCACTCCACGACTGCCTGCACTTAGTAAACCTCACACCACCATCTAACCTTGTGATCCAAGAGTTTTATGCCCTATAACACTTGGTCCTTGGTCTCGTGTTGGCACCCTTATAGCCTTGCCACTGAAGCTCGGGTTTTTAGCTTGTCAACAAGGTGATCCCTCTCTGACGAGTTGAGTTCCAGACCAAAGGAGCTCCCTTCAACTCCAAACTAAAACAAAGAACAAGATTCAACAATAACGACACCCTCATGGTCAATGGAGCAAGGAACCTAGTCTCTTTCGGCACACTTTCCCAGAATCAAGACTTGTAATTTTTTTTTCCGTTTTTGAGTCAAGAAGAACAATGTGCTACCATATTTTGTAAACTTCTTTTGACATTAAAACAAATAGAGCAATATCTTTTCTTTTTAACCCGCTTTAAAAATTTGTGACAGGTAGGATCCGGACCGAGGTTACTATGATACCATCTTAAAGTCCTTGCCACTGCATCATAACTATGTATTTAAATGGCATCATAACTATGAATCTGTGAGGGTTGAGGCTTATAATTTTTATTCTAACACCGTCCAAGTCCATCAAGAAGGCTCTGAACCTAGCATCATACTATATTTTGCCAATTTAAAAAGGAAAGATCATGTTGTTTTTTGTAAAGACATTCTGGAAACATAGATACAATTGTTTCTCATCAGTAATTAATTGAATAGATAAACAGTCATAACTCAACAAAAGCAATTACATAGTTCTAAGGACAAATCCATAAAGCTTTCATTTGGTTAAGGAAAACGAAGATGTGAAGAGGACTAACCTGAAGAGAAGTCAAAAGAAATAGATGTCTTATCATTGTGTTCCTTTAGACGGTTATTAACTGGAATTGATGACCCAAAAGCAAACAGAAGGTTTTGTGTCGTTACAGCAGTTGAAAAGTTTAGCTGAAATGCCACATAAATGTTGGCTTTGTAAACTACAACTACAGGTGCAATATTTGTAGTTGACAGCTTTCCCTCATTAGCGACGACTTCTGAACTTGAGCGGCCACGAAGATAAAATTGTTTGATATGAGGTATTCCAGTTTTACCAATCCAACCGACCATAGCACTAGAGCCGGTCATCATTCCATCCTTGGAGAAGCCAATCCCAACCCATCCGAGAGTGTATACAGTGGATAGTACGATAGTCAAAACATGATTCTCATCCTGGGAGTACTGAAAGGGGATCATCATAATGTTAGAAAAATGAAAATAGTTGTATAACTCTATTAGTATAAGGATTGCCCAAGCAGAATATAGTATGGAATGTTCCAAGGATAGATTGAAAGTAATCACTAAATTTACATTTTGTGCAATTGACTATGCTTCACAAGGATATGACGTGTCTGAAAACTATGCAATAGTGATAGGAAACAGCTCTAAGGAAAAACTGATGAAATTTTTGTTGACAGGACACACTCAGCAAAGGTTCTTATACACACATTGAACAAAAATGCATAAGTTATAAGACCTTAGAAAATTATCTGGGCTATCTTCTGCATGCACCCAACAGGAAAAAGTATCATAGGTAAAAGTGTGCACAAATATTCACTAAATCAGAGTATGTATATCAAACAGAAGTATGGATAAACTATGTACATCACAAAATGTTTTTGGGCTTTGATAGACCTATCTTTATGTATAAAGAAGGTAAAATGTTTCCTCTTTTTGAAGTAAAAAGTGGCTTCAGTAGATATATCTCAAAGTCACTATTACATTTTTGAATTATCTATCTTCACAGATCCAACCCATTTTTTCGAATAACCACAAAGAGGATAATGCAAATGAAAGATGTACCTTAATTCTGACTACTACATGTAATAGTGATATTTAACATGCATATGTTAAACTTCGAAAACTAGGCCTGTCCTTTTTGGCACACACTTTGGATTTATCTCTGGCAAGGCTGCATATGCAATATCAAACATGACGTGGATGAATCACCATATTTTACTAGGAATAACTTGCATCCGTATCATAGCATCTGTATCATAGATTATACAACACTTCCAGTGAATTCTAAAATTCTAATGCAGGCGGTCAACAAACTTATTACAGGTTCAAAATATAACAGTTCTTATTTTATTTTTATGACTAACTGCAGATCCTAGTCATATTTGAGCTTCGACTCCAGCACAACAAAATAAACAGATCAGTTCCTTACACAAGCTAAAATACCCAGACAGGACTGTTCATTTAACCACCAATAACTACAGTGATTTTGGTGAACTCTTAATTATTCTTTTTTCCCCTTTTGCATCATAATTTGATAGAGCAAATGAACCTGGCGTATCTGGTAAGCTTGGCATATGACAACCAACTTTACAAGATCTGAAGAAAACCAACCACGAGTCTCCGTATTTATTTAGATAATTAAAGCATAAAAGGGTTTAGGTCCTCTAGAGAGGAGTTGGAGAAAATGACAGAAGGCATAAACTAGAGTACAAGGTAAACTTTCAAGTTATTGTTTTCCGTAGAAAAATACTTTTCTCAGATAAACAGAGTCCACAAAGTGATCATCTACGACTACCAAGTAGACAACCATTAGGATTGTGTCATACATCCTGCTAAAATCATCAAAATTGATGGGTGGACAGATTTAAAATTTAGCCTCATACCAAAAGCAAAATGAGCATATGAGTGTTTAATGTGTAATTGAAATATAATACAGAATGCATTACATAAAGTGGTCTTAGGTTGTCCTCTCTCAGTTTTAAGCTCCATCCACCATAACAAATTTGTAGCAAATCAAACAGAAGATGACAAATTGACGCATCTGGGTTAGCATCTATGGTCATTTGAAGGGTGCTAACGTTAATTTGATACCAATTAGAGACACAAAGGCCATAAATGATAAAAGGTAAATTCCAAAGACGGCGTCAATTGTACGTCTTATCTCAAAACAGAATACAACCCAAAAATTCCCCTGCATTACATTGATCCACGGGTAACACTGTCCTTGACGCACCAACTATCCAGCGAACAGATATTACACATTCAATCAAAACGGGGGTAAATTGTATGATATTGACATAGCACATTCAATCAAATGGCACAGAATTGGAGTAGTCAGAGTCGGCTCCTAAAAACAACGGAACGGGACAGAAAATAGAAAGTTACCCTGAGAATGAAATTGTTCCACACAGGGCGGCAACTGAGCCCAGCAGCAGTGAACGCGGAAGGCAGCACTGAGCTCGGATCCACACTGCAGCCGTCCGTTTGGGAATCAACGGTCGAGATTAACACTGACGAAGGAACGACAACAACCAGCAGCAGCAGAAGAGAGAAAGAAGCAAGAGCCATGGGTAGCGACAGAGAGAGCTGAGCTGAGAAAAGAGGAGAGGGATCTGCTCTTTTCTTTGCTAATCTGTTTGGGCATTAGAAATTGGGCAGCGGTGGTTGATACATAGCTTGCGTCTGAAGAGAGTGGGAATGAGAGTGACAGCGATATTTGAGGGTGGTTTTTTTTTTTTTTTTAAGAGAGAGAGAGAGAGAGTGGAGGAGTAGTTGCTGCTGATGTTGGTGCTCAGGAACAACTCTATTGTCTCTTTCTCTTCTGATGAAGATGATCTGTAAATGGGAGATGGATAACGCCGACTTCACAGCGGTATCGAAGGGTTTGACACTTCCCCAAATAGTATTGATTTCACAAAACCCCCCAATTAAGTTTAGCCGTTTCTCAGACAACCCCCTTATAACTCTCAAAGTGTCACAAAGCCCCTTAAGCTTTGCGTTCTCAGAAACCGTCCTTCAACTTTTAACATTTTTTTCACTGGAAAAAATATCCCCCTGTACTTACTGTACTTAGGAAATAACTAACATATCATTGAGGGAAAAAATGCTAATTTACTTGTTTTCCGTTTAGGGGCTAATTGGTTGGTTTCCAAAAACCCAAGAATAGGAAATTGGAGCTTGGAAATCTCCAAAATTTCAATTTCTATCATTTCCATCCCTAAAACTTACCCATAACATCTAATAAAATATTATTTTCATCCAACAACTCATCCACATCATCCAATAAAATATTATTTTCATCCAACAACTCATCTCATATCATCCAATAAAATAAACCAAATAAAAGAAACGGGTCACATCATCCAACTCATCTCATCTCCATCTCATCTCATCTTTAAAAATCACTCACATCATCCAATAATATTGTGACAATTCATCTCATCTCATCTCCATTTCATCTCCACTCATTTCCTCCAAAAAAACAAGGAAATTGATTTCCTTAAGTGTGGGTCACATCATCCAATAATATAATGACAACTCATCTCATCTCATCTCATCTCCTATTTTTAAGAATGAACCAAACACAAGAGAAGAACCTATTTATAAGAAATATGTTTCCTATTCTTTGATTTCCTTCTTTTTTAACCAACCAAACAACCTCAAAACAACTTTTCTTAAAAAAATTCCCACATCATCCAATAATATTGTGACAACTCATCTCCTATTATTTGATTTCCTTCTTTTTTTAGCCAACCAAACAACCATAAAACAAATTTTTAAGGAAATAGGTTTCCTATTCCTTGATTTCCTTCTTTTTTTATAGGCCGCATACGTTGTACTCCTTCCCCACAATTAAGGATTTCCTTTTGAAGAAAAATTTAAATATTTGTCATCTACAGGTGGGGCGGATCCGGTGAAAAGTTTTAAAGTTTTGGAGAGAAAATTTAAGGTGGTTATTTATTATAAGGAAAATAATTTAAGGACCCAAAATATAAGACCAATGGAGGGGACATGTGAGGTGTCCCCTCCCTATTGCATAATAAGTTTGCTGTGTCAACTCATTATGCAATAGAGAGGGGACACCTCACTTATCCTCTCCCTTGGTCTCATATTTTGGGTCCCCGTAGCAATACCGTTTTAAATCACTTTAACCGAGAAAATTCAAACTGATGTCCAATTTGAGGGAAAAACGATAACGCTCTTTGCGACTTAAAGAGGTGTTCGTTTGCAATAAAGAGTTTAGTGACTACACAATCATAGTGCAAGTGAATAGATTTAGTGGCTAGTATCATACCACGCTTTTCAATCTACTTCTACACTCTTCATTTGGGCAGATAAAAGTTGAAGTATTAACAGAATTATTTAATATAAAAATGGTTATAACTTCATAGTACAGAAGATATGTGTGCATTTAACCCTATTTAGAACCTCACAGAAGCAAGGCCTTGAGACAAAAAAATTAACGAATAATATTTACTGGGAAAGCCTTGGATAAGATTACGGCCTGACAAAAAGGGTAAGGGGGAATATTTTTGGGGCTTTGTAAAGATATTTCTCCCTTGCATCTTTAGTATTTTAAAATAGCCCCTCAAATCGCTAAATTTTTTATTAGAACCTCCAACCTTTATATACTATCCCTACTGCTCTTGATTAGAAAAATTAATTTAAAAAATTTATCAGGCCTAAATACCTTATAGCAATTTTAATGAATTTGAGGGCGTAATTTTTTTTTCAAAAAACTAAGAAAGAAGGATTGATTTCTCATAACCCTCTAACTTTGGGGTCATATTTATAGACCATTTATACTTTGTTTATCTCACACAATCTCTTGAACTTTAGGGTGTCTCACAAAACTTTTATGAATTTTTTTTTGTCACCATACCTTCTTACTTGTTATTTTTACAAATAGCTAAAATGTTTCTGAGAGGGGGGAACATTCTAAAATATTGTCTGTTGTCATTTACAGACTATGTACACTTTCCCCAAAATTCTTACTCTATTTTCTCTCAAGGAAATTATATTTATTTGTAAATTATATGTAAGGGAGTCTGGCGAGAAAGTTTAAAAGTTAAGGGGGGGTATTGTGAGACTCCCTAAAGCTCAGGGGATTATGTGAGAGAAACTAAGTTCAAGGGTGTTATGTGAAAACTTTAAGAACGTTTTAATACAGTTAGCTGCAGGTTCAAGCTAGTTACCGACACTTTCGTAAGCTGATTTGCCTACTGAGCTACCGAAAGTGATGCCAAAAAAGAAAAGATATATTTTCCATAAAAAAATGAAAAATAATAAGTAAAAGTAATAAAAAAAATGAAAAAGCATGTTATCGGTTGCAACTGGGTCCGGTGTCCTCCAACCGGTAGGTGTTGGACTTTATTTTTCTATATTCTGTGAATTAATATTATTTAGCTAGTCAAGCGTTCGTCTATTTAAACGCCAACATGGCAACATGCCAATGATAGCTGTAAGAATATTATATCATGTCACATGTCACCACCAAAGTGAGATACTTCATTCTACCAACGCTTTGTGTAGCACACCGCATATCTGGGTATAAATGTCAAATTAGGGAACTAAAAGCTGCATTAATACTTCTAATTTGTTTTTTAAAAATAAAACACTTCATAATTAGTAATTTTCTGATAATAATTATGAGCATGCGAATTCTAAAGAATGAAAAATTTTAGGGAAAAATGTGTCGGGGCCCCAAAAGCTGAAAAATCATGTGACGAGGCCCCTTGTATTTTCCCTCGTGTGTATAAGCCCTAAAAAGCAGCCTTTAATATTTTCAGGTCCCTCCACGTCAGCTGTATACAAAAGAGGCATTGTATTTTATGAAAAACCCAAGTTTGTCCTTCTCCTTCGTCCATAGACGCTTCGTTACCACTCTTCGTCACATCCCATTGATGCAAAGCTACTGTAAAATGTGAGGGAAATCACCCCCCCCCCCTTTTTCCCTCTATCATGAGCAGTAAATATCTAGTTCTTCATTACTCTTCCTCAGTCCCCCCTTTTTTCCTCTATCATGAGCAATAAATATCTAGTTCTCCATTACTCTTACATTACTCTTCCTCGGACCAAAATTCTCTCTATTACTCTTCCTCAGACCAAAATTCTCTCCATTACTCTTCCCTCCACTTCATAATGGCTGAAAAGGACACCACCTGCATCGTAGCTTCGGGTGATAGAGCAGTATTCATGAAGATTTAACACTTCAACCACCATTCTTGATCTAAAATTTGACGTGTCAGATAGGTTAGATCTTCCATATGAATCGTTAAGTTTGTCAATCAAAGATGAAACAAATGGAAGCTTCAAATTTCCTATTGAGAACGAGGGGGATCTGTCGTCTATGGTGGAGCATTGCCATAACAGATGATTAAAGGAGGTTCACATGCAAGCTTTCAAGGAAAAAGAGGATTCTTCAAAAGTCCACAGCGCCGTTCAAGTTCGACAAGACATGTAGGGGCAAGGATTTTTTTGATGCTAAGACCAATATTCATGTAATATCAGTTAATGTTAGTTTATTGGATTATAGCTCGGATTTGGGTGTATGTTATCTCTAATCGATTTCATGACAGTTCTATAAGCTGTGAATTCTAGTTACAGCTGTAATCGTATGAAGGAGGTTCATGCTGGTTCTTGTCCTACGTGAATGTATTAAACATGTCGGTTCTAATAGATTTATTGTTAACTATAATCTATTAGTTATTAGTTCCAATAGACTTATTGTTAGTTCTAATCGATTTGCTATAAGATCAAGTTCAAACTGTGTTAGGTCCAACATGTTAGTTCTAAGTGACTTCATGTTCAGTCTAAACGTTTTCATGTTAGTTCTAAATGAAATCTTGTTAGTTCAATTGGATTCCACGACAGTTATAACACAAGCAGTTGATATTTTTTTTTGCCTTTTCCTTATTTGTGTTATTTGTTGATGTTTCTATTGTATAGTTTATGATCATTTGTTCATGTTATTTATATTTGCAGCGCTTCTAGCAGTATGAACTCAAAAAGTATAGATGGTGGCCCGCCGTTGTCGACGCCCACATGTGTTTCAGATAGGATCCCCAATGATAATCCTTCTGGAGATAATGTTCTGATGATTGATGACATGATTAGCAGATCAGAGAGGATTCCTGCTTGGTGGCACACTGCTTTAACCGGTGAGGGACAACGGTTTGAGAGTGCGAAGGAATTAAGATTGGCTTTACTATACTATTCCATGGCCAAAAAATTCGAGTACTTGTTTGCTAAGAATGAACCGAAGCGTATTCGAGTCTTTTGTCGGTTCAAGGAAGCCCAAAATTGCCCGTGGATGTTATTTGCCTCTCCAACACAAAATGAGATCAGACTTGAAATCAAAACCTTCATGGAAAACCATACTTGTGGGAATTTTGGCAATAATGCAGGTCAATCTAGGGCGTCACGACAATTCATTGCGACCCAAGTATTACCCACGTTAAAGGTCCGACCAGATTTACGACCTATCGACGTACAAAAGGAGTTACTAACTTCGTATGGACTTAGGGTCGATTATAGCAAGATATGGTGGGGTAAAGAAAGAGCACAAGAGCAACTATATGGTGATGCCCATGAGTCCTACGATCAATTACGATGATAAAAAAAGATAATATCTATAATATAGACACTAATTTTATTTATGTTGATCCTAACATATAATCTTCAATGGTCTAGGTATGTAGAAGAGGTTAAGAAGACAAACTCAGGTAGCTACATTCATGTTGAACAAAATGAGGGGAGGTTTTCAAAGCTATTCATCTGTTATGCCGCCTGCATAAATGGGTTTTTGAACGGTTGTAGACTACTTATATTTTTGGATGGTACCTTTCTGAAAGATCGTTTC